TGGACGCGCCAGGTAGCCAGCAGCTAGGCTAACGGGTAACCCTTCTTTCCTGGGTAACCCGCCTTCCTAGGGATCCATAGGCGCTTTCGAAGGATTGAGAAAAACCTAGCGAGCAGCATCAGTGCCTACTACGCCTGGGCCCAGTCTCAAAACTGCCATGCGACTGCCTGTGATGGTTCTAGATCGAGGCCACAGGCACCAGGGGCCGAGCAAGTACTATGATCCGATCGGTGAGCGCCTAATCGTACACACATTGATACAAAATGTAAAGAGGGATATCAAAGGAGAAGAGGGTGAGGCCAACGACTTACCGGAAATACAGGAATGAAGCATGTTTTGTTGTAGCTGGAGACAAGAGAAGCAATAGGACGCGGCACCAAGGAGTCACGTCTCCAGCAGAGGAAGCACAGGGCGTACTTGGATACGTCTGAAACATTAGAGAGACATGAGTGCAATGATGGTGCCTAAAGCACGCCCAAACCACCGATTATGAAGTTATCAATTCAAAGGACCAGGGCAAGAGGTAACGCATGGAAAGACATCAGAAAACATTGAGGCACGCTGGTAAGTATAAGACGTGCCGGCAGAGGGTATTGGCCCTGGAGAGGAAATAAGTGACTAGCGCAATCAACGACTGGCATCACCTATAAGTCGAGATGCTCTATTTATGTCATTATACTACTCTTGATGTGTGATTTGCCGTATATTTTGACTATTTTCCGCTAACTGACGGCTGCTCGCTTTTCGTCTGCAATCATGTGAAGGATCACTGTTTGAATTTTTCTACCGTATCGATGCATTTTTTCAGTCACTATGTCGCACACGCACGTCACTATGTTACGCACGATTCGTGCGTAAATCGTCCATGAGGTCAAAAACAAATACAGACTCGTAGGCTTTAGTAAGGCTATCATCAAATTATGGTCTGCCTTTTCACCAAACCGAAGCGAAACACCATCGGTTGTGAAACAGGTGGACCATCCGCTGATATTACCTTGAACTAAATCTGAAACACTTATTTCATGGGCGCTCTGTAATAGACAATCGAGCTCTGGCAATGGAGGCTAAGTTGCATAGGTGGTCATGGTATCCTTCCAAGTTTCATGTAAGTTTTTTTCATCATGTTCCTAATACAGGTACCAGTTAAAAGCCGTGGGTTACGTAGGTTCTGCGTGACAGCATGACGGGCATTTAAGGAGTTCGGCTCCCTCGCAGGTTAAAAAACGTTTTCTATACGGTCCGTGGTACGAATTCAGATTTCAATTACAGAAATTTCCCCCGTATTCACAAATTCTGTTAATTAATTATATGCTAACAAAGTCAGGCAGGGTAAAAAAGTCTGGAGTTATTTTAAAAAGTCAGAGCACAAGTAAAAACTCATACTGTTTGCAAAAACTTCATCATAAAGTATAACTAGCACAAACGGTTTCTAAAATATCACTTAGCGGAGGGGCAAAAATTCTTATAAACGAACAACAGAATGTGAAAATAACCCAATTGGTTGCCAATACAAGCGAACATGCGAGTCCTAGGAAGTTATTGAAAAGAAGATGTCATCACTGGGACGAATAAAAGTCATGCCCCAGGGACCACATTTTCTTCTTCTCAATCCAACTGGTGATATTTCCTACTTTTTAACGAAAATGTAAAGCGGGGAGAAGAGCTTGTAGTCGATTAACCGGCATCGGAAAAACATCGTTTGGATGGAGAATAGTAAGCGAAGGTGGTCAAAGAACAATAAACTTACTAGGATCCACGCCTGACTTCTTTCTCAGCACAATATCTGAAAGGAGACAGTCACAAGATGTATGTATGCACACAAAAAAAAACTAAGCAAGCAACGGACAATTTGCAAATGCGACAGAAACTATGGATAGTTATTGGGAACGAATGGTCCTATAGTCCCAATTGGTGCTTACCTTATGGCATGCTTACTGAAACGATTTGAGTAACCACTGTCACGCTGGGTTGCATTCGTTTGTGCAGTTATGGACAGCGATTTTGGGGATTGGTTGGGGAGTTCAGAATAAGATAATTTTGGGAATATGAGTATGAGATAAAGATTAGGAGGTACTGGGCTGGGGATTTAGGATTGGAACCAGAGCTTACCGTGTGGTTACCTGATGGTATGCTTACTCGAATAATTTAAGTACGCAGGGTTACGCTGACTTGCATCCTGTGGCGTAGTCACGGACAGGAGTTTGGGGAGATTGTTTTGGAAGTTAAGTATTAGATAATTTTGAGACTGGAGGCGGAAGGCAAGGTAGTTGCATTTAGGACCAGTACTAGGGAATCGGGTCTAGAGCCGCAGTTAGGAAATTGATGGTTTGACCTCCGGATAGAGCTAGGGGTTTCCAGTGGGGGTTATTGAAAAGCAATGAGGGTCGAAAATGACATTTCATGTAAGCAAAAAGATTCAGAAAGAAAATATTAAGCGTATGAACGTCATGATTGTGGTTAGCGGTGCAGAAAGGCACCGATTTCGCTCGATGCCAAGTGACAGCACGGTTCTCCTTACCTGCGAAAAATATCCTTCCATCCTCCAGTTCAACAAAGTGAAAAGGTAGTATATCCAGACCAAGTTCGGGACTTATCCTCGATTGAAGCTGGGTAATAAAGGTCTCTACAGGGCCTTGCTTCAGCTTGAGATAAGCTCGAAGTAGCTGCGCACGGTTATCGTCCAGTTGCTGGGGTGGGGAATGCCCTTTCCTTGAAAAAAGAAATATGTATTACTAATAAGAATAAAAGTAGCATTTATTTTAGCATGCACAAATATGGACCTACAGGCTTGTGGTGGCCAGTTCGTAGTACAGTTGCCAATCTACACGAGGCAAACACCGCACCATTTTCATAGCTAAAAGAAAAAAACAAGAATGAAGGAGGCTTAAAAGTCAGCGAAACTCTTCAGAGGTAATTCTTTAAAAAAGCTGCAATAGAGATGACAGTTTATAGCCTTATAGCAACTCAGTCCGATGCTAAATGTGAGTACGCTTCGGTTTTAGGAAAGAGGATAACTCTACTTCGGTACGGCCCGAGGATAACTTTGTGCCGATAATTTGTTGCTAGGGTTAGATACTACTAAACTACTGCACGGAACTCATTTTTTCGCAGGACACAAAGGCTTCACGTCCGGCAAGCTAGCACCTACCACCAATCGCTTTGGCCCGATTCTGTGCTTTGAACACTGAACACAGGAGCGTCGACTGAGGTCGCTGCAGCCCAACTGGTTCCAACTATAAACAGTTTTTCGATCAAGGCACCCCTGATCTCCCAGGGTTCTGTTAATATAACGACTGGCATTAAAACACAACAGCCTAGAGGAA